TTATTTCTTTTTAGAGTCTTTTTGATTTAACAAAAAGGGGGAGAATATAGTAAGGGGGAGTAAGGGGAGTAAAGTAAATTAAATTTTCAAAATTGTTTACAAAAATTATTTTCAAAGAAAATCTTAAAATTACTCAAATGTTTTGTTATATCAAAAAGGGGGAGATTGTTGAAAACATTTTGATGTTTCGATATAACAAATTAAGTATAAATGAATTTTAAGAATTTACAAATTATTTTCTAAGTATATTCGATTTAATTACTTGAATATCAAAATATTACTCCAAGTCTTTCAAAGATCAATTTCAATCCTTACTAAAGTGTAAAATTGTGTTTTAATCTTAAAATATTTTTGAAACAATTTTCAGAAAGTATTTCGAACAAAAAACGAGCCTAAAATCAATTTTTCAAAACAGTGTACCGATGCACCAATCCATGCATCGATGCATCATTGAATAAATTGAACATCGAATGCATTATATGCATCGATGCACATACCATGCATCAATGCACTCAAGTTTTTATGAAAAACATCGAATGCATTTGATGCATCGATGCACAAGACATGCATCGATGCACTCTGGCTTGTTTGAAACATCGAATGCATTTCATGCACTCTTAGTGCACCGATGCACTGAGGGTCCAACGGTCGAAATATTTGAATTTTACACATAGTGTACCAATGCACTAGCCTTATGCATCGATGCACCAGACGCTCCCAATTGTTTTATTAATTATTTTCACACTTAAACGACTCTATTGACTCTACTATTCATCCCCAACGTTCAGAATCAATTGAAGGAGTATTTAAACAAGCTTAGAAGCCATTGATCAATAACAAGAATCAAGAATTAAGAGAGAATCAAAGAGAAAGCGTCAAACCTCAAGTTTGAGCATTTCAAGCCTATTTCTCATTCAATATTCATTTTGCTTTCAAGAACACTACTTGTACTCAATTGTATTCATTTTTAGTGTTCTTTTCTTTGTTCTAGAATTGTGCAAACAATCTACCTTGTGAGAATTTCCTTGTAAGTTTGCAAATTTGTAATCTTCTTTTTGAGAAAGAGTGTTCTCAAGAATTGGGGTATATTCTTGAGGGAGTTGTAAGGTTATCTCTTTGGCCTCAAAAGAAAGAACAAATTAGTGAATTTATTGGAAAATCCTTAGTGTGGATAGCTAAGGTAGTGGACATAGACTTTGGTTGAGAAAGTCGAACCACTCTATATCGTTGTGCAATTACTTTCAATTTATGCTAAAGCTTCCACCAAAATTTTAATTGTCAATTCACCCCCCTCTTGGTCGATTCCTTCGATCGATTAACTCAACAGTTTCCATATTTAGTTTGTTGTTATTGATAATTTAACATAAACCTTAAATTTGAATTTTATATTTTATTTTATTTTGAATCTAACAAGTGATATCAATATCTTGTCATGTTAAATAATTAAAAGTTAATTAATTTTTTACTATTTTCTGATTGGATTGCTCCAAAACTATTTTAAAGATTCTATATTTCGATTTTGAAATTTAAGATTTTGATATTTTATGAATTTAGATTTTAAAGATTATTATAGTCATAATTATAATCTTATTAGGTAGTTTGATTATTGATTGTTATCAATTCTAGTGGTAATTGATGGTTCATCAATGTCATAATGAAATAGTTGTTTCTCATACACTTCAAAGGATGTACCTCCTCCAAATATCCTCTGCAAACTACACTTCCCTTATTGCTCTGCTACTTGTCAAAACCTCTGAAAAGACAGTCTCTAGAGGAACTCCGCTGAGCAAAGGCTTTAGAGTTCAACATCATCTGACAAGCCAAAGGCCCTTGGCAAGACCTCGGACAAGTCTACAAGATTTATCATGATTAAATCTACTGTTGTACGATCTATTTATATATTTTGTCAATCTATGAAAAGTCATCATAACCTTAGGCCTAGCATAAACATTAAAGGTCAATATATAAATCTCATTGCGAGATTAAAAAAAGCAATTGGGGATTCATTCTCTATTGGACATGCATCATTCTTCATCTTGAATTTACTATTCTTCATTAAACCAGGGTCATAACTCTTCGCTCAAATCATCTATATCATAATCCAAATTTTACTATATATTATATGATACATGGGTAATTTGTTAAAATTTTATTGGATTGATACAACATATATTTAAGAATTGTGAAATACTATCGAACCTTAAATTCTAAAATTTATTTATTTGAATTATTTTAAATTTTATTTAAATTACTATTTAAAAAATAGCCTCCAGGATTTTTAAATTATTTAAAAATCTTATATAATCTTTAACCTTAAATATTTACATATAAAAAACTATTAAATTATAATTCATTAAAAATATTAATACTTTTAAAATATTACCTAATTAGATTTAAATATAATTGCATATAATTATACAATTATTACATGTTTAATCAAATATTATAATTTATTCCATTAATTATTATATTTGAAGTAAAAATATTTATAAGTTAGGTAATTATAAGTAAACCAAAATCCAATCATTATATAACTTTCCAGACACACCCTTAAAACTCATCAAAATTCATCTGAGTGAAACTCTCCAATTTATCCCAAAAAAAACTGATCTTCCAATATGATCCAATTTGAACTGAAAAATAAAATCCAATAACCAAAATAAAAGAATAAGCTCAGTTCAGTTTAAAAAATGCATATCGACCCCAATGAAGTTGATCACTTTAGGGTAACTTACATAATGTAAACATGAAATTTATGTGGCAGAGAGAAGATTCTTATTAATCTCGAGTCATCCCTTCACCAAGCTCAGCTGGACGTTGCACAAATAAAATCCAGCATAAAACTACACATGCATAAAACGAGTTGGATGCGAATCTCATCCATCTTGAGCTAAGTAATCTATGCAAAACATGCAGAGTTTGATTCTAAAAAATCATGTTTCATAAAAGTAGCTGATATTATTCAGGAGAACCAATCTATTACAAAAGAGAGCTCTAAGTTTTAAGGATATTAAAACTCAAGCCCAAAGTAGCTGTCAGAAAACCGATACCAATCACCGGATAAGTTCCCTTCGCATGGCTGGAACAATTCCTTCCAATAATCAAAACCTGCAGACCTGCAAAGATGCAATTATGTGACACTTCTTTACCATTATCTAACCTACAGACCACCGACCGATAAGAAAACCGATGAACAACCTGATCTCTACTGCTTGATGTTCTTGCCCTCTGCTGCTGGCTTTGCTGCAACTTGTTCATCTGACAAAGGCAAATAGTAGATCCAGGGAGTTACTTTGGTTTCCGAAACAAATCATCCAGAGTGACAATAGGAGGATTTAATTTCTTGGGAGGTGGAGACAGAGGTGGTGGTGGTGGTGGCGGTGGAAGCACAGAAGGTGACGGAAGCTGCTTTCTAGAAATATGTTGACGAGGTGAAGGCTGGGGCTAAGAAACATTTATTTAATAAATTAGAACAAAAAATAGCATAAAACCTTGAAATAATGCTATTTTATAAAAAGTATAACTACTGCATTATTTTATTAAAAAGTATGATTATTTTTTGAATATATAAAAGTATATGTACACCAAACTACGTAGTTTTTATAGGTTTAAGGTAGGCTCAATCTAATATATATATATATATGTATATGTATGTTTCCTCTCTTTGATTTTATGTTTTTTCTATTGCCGTCATCAAGAGTCTTGTTTCAAGGTAACTCTTTTTTTTTTTCATCTAAATTTCTTACGTAGTTGGTATATACTCCTTGTTGTTTTCTTCTTTTTGCTATTCTGATAACAGCGTAGCGCAAACGTTGGCTATGTCTGGATTTTGTAGTGATGTCGAGGAAGATGTTGTGCAACCAACACCTTGATACTATTGGCAGAAGAAACCAAAAACTGGATTTGTTGATTTTATCTCAAATCATTAATAATTTTGTGTGAACTTTTTATGGTTCTGTTTGATAAATACCATTATAGTATATTTTTCCTACTTGTCCGGTTGGCTTCTCTTGATGTGAAATAACTTGTTAGTGAAGCTACTTTATGAGAAGCTAGTTCAATTAATACATAGACTTTAAAAGGTAGTCTTCAACTTTAAGAAGTTATCATCCATGCTTGACATATGCAACTCTGGTTGATCCAAATTATCAAGTAATGGAATTCATGCATCCAATGTAGTTTTTAGACTCAATTTGAGTTGTCTGAGGTTTATTGTTTATTGAGAAATTCTGGAATTATTGTAATAGGTTCTGGAATTCAGAAGGCCCATGTAGTTCCATGTAATAAACCTTACATACTGCATTTGCTGTTTCTCTTGTTATTTATGCTGTAATTATCTTGCAAGAAGCATATGTAAAATGGATTTTCATTATATCATGTTTCACACCTTTGGCAACCTTGAATCTCCCGTTAGGTAGATGCCATAGAGAATCCGGAAATGAATCTTTGTCTTAGAATGAAAAATTGGCCTCCTACTTCTTGTAACCTTGTGGCCTTGATGCTTATCCTTCATGAAATGAGTTGGTTGGGATGCTTGGATGGTTTAGTTGTTCAAATATGTGGCTCACATGATATTAATTGGTGAGTTTTTGTGCTGTTCCTGTCCTGGAACATGTATTTATTTCCACTGGATCTGTTGCAAGTTTGTCTTGAATTACTATTCCACTGCCACCAGGTCAATAACCTGCATTCTTAATGTGTTCTCCAGGGAAATGGTGACCAGTCAGCAAGTCTAGTAAAAAATCATCATGTCAATGGCGTATCCTCTAAACATGATGGAAGAGAAAAGGTAATGGCACTCTTGCGATGATTGGATATAATTGGTTTTCACTTGGTCATGATTCATGCACCCTTCTGCTGTTTTGATTTTTGGCCTTAGTGGATAATAAACATTTTCTATTGGTTTTCCCATCTCATTTCACCTGTCTTTCTATTTGTTTCTTTGGATGATGAATGAACTTGACGTATTTGTTCATATATATATATGTATATGAATGTCTTCTAGGAGCTTGCTGATATGCTGGAAGAGAAAAATAGGCCCCTGGGGGCAGTTCAAGCTAATCATGAATTACAGATAAAGCAATTGAATATGGAACTTGAAAAGGAATGTGATAAACTTGGGAATCTGCAGATGAGATTGCAAGGTATATTTGTACACCATGAAGTTCCAATTATGATACTTGCAATATCATCAATTGTCAAAGAAATGAAACATCATCTTCTTCATTTGTAAAATTCCAGAGGAGCACAAGCTGAATGAGTCTCTTCAGGAGGAGCTTGGAGTTACTGAAATCAGAGAAGGATAAAGTAAGCTTCTAAATTGTTCAGTGTCGATTGATGTTATCATTTGTTTGGTTGCATAGCTCCCAACGCTTTCTTTTATAGCACATAATTACTTTGTATGTTGAAAATTACAAATAGTATTCTCTTCAATTCAGGTAGTCTTACCTTCAATTATCAATGAGGATATTGATCATGACTTGACAAGTTCAACATGCTTTCTACTGCGTTAAATTACAATGTTCCAATTGTAAAATCAATTTGCTGTACTTTTGTTTCAGTATTTTTAGCATCAATCACGGTATTTAGGGTCTTCCTTGAAATTATTGTGTTTTTCAAATGGATTTTGTGCATAATGATTGTTCAATATCAACTAATCCTTTTTTTTTTTTTGTCAAACAGAAAGCAATGAAGGTAAAAGCTTGGAAATGTTGCATGAATCTCCATTAGAATGCTCAATTTTGTTTTAAGTATTTATAGAAAATAAAAAACACTTTAATCTTCGTCTTAGTAAATTCCTGGTTCCGCGCCTTTGACGTGAGATGGATAGTTGGCATGTATTGAGTTATTTGAGTTCTTGTTTTAATTTAATTATAAATATTTATAATATTATGATATTATATTTCATAATTTTTTTTGTATGCGTTGTTGAAAAAATTGATTACTGCAAAATAAGACATTAACACTGACGAAAAAAATATAAAACGAAATATACAAGCAAAGAACTGATTAATGGTCTCGTGATATTAACCACTATTTTAGAAACGAATTCGTCCTAATGTATGTAATTGTTACAATAGAATAATGACCCTCCGAAGTCAACACGACTTTCTAAATTTTGTACTTTCGAAAAATGGAGTGGACTTGGATGATACTACTCTTCCCTGAACTCAAAACAATACTCAAAACATGTTATGAAACCCAAAGAAAGTGTTTCTAAAGAAAATGTGTTTAGGGATATATCAAATGAGGACTTGTCCACTATTTATAAGTTAAATAGTGAGGGTAAAAATTTCGTTCCAAAATAATATTTAAAACTATTTAAAATAGAATTAAATAACATTAAAAATATGTTATATTTTTAGCATTAATAACATTCCCTTACTAAGGCGAAAGAGTATTCTTTGTAAAAATGAGAGTATTGAAGTTAAAACATGAGAAGACCAATAGTGAGATTAACTGCTTAAGCACTAGTGAATGTTTCCGAAACTAGTACATAGTGATGATGAGTAATTTTTCTCTTAGATAAGTGAATGAATCATGAAATTTCTAAGATTAGGGTGAACTCATAACACACAACTAATCCTTTCACCCACCGAAGAACGATTACCCTAGGTATAGTAATACCGAACCTATGTCCGTCAATAGGTACAAAAAATAAGTGTACACAAAGGAGGAGCGTTTATGAACCCTTATCTTTTGCTTTAAATTTTGATTGAATAAAAGCAAGCGAACTAGGTACTATGCGGTTATGATCATTTTCTTGAAATAAATCATTTGGGTAGAAAACATGTCCGGGTAGGTTTGCTATCTAATGAAAGCATGATCGGGTAGATATCATGTCGGGATAGGTGTTATATTCATCTCTGAATAACATTTTTATCTGTGTCAATTATCTTACATGTACTAACTTATTTCTTTTCTTTTGTTTGTATCATTTTTCATCCTTCTTTGCATTGCATTGCATCGTCATGACATAATGCAAAAATGTTGATCCGTAAGGTGATATTCGAGAGTAAATTTTCACAAGAAGAGGTAAAAGTTTTCAATAAAATAGTCACATACACAGGCATGCACCGAGGGCTAAAAAAGTTCAGAGTACAAGAATGAGACTTTCTCGAAGATTGTGCAATATTCGAGGCTAAAATGATGATCAACTGATCCTAGGAGTAATCCAGCAGTAGAGCCTTATCTATGATTATTCCATCGCTAATTACCAAGGAGTGACGCGTGACTTCAGCACCATACAGGGCATTAACGGAGTTAGGTTATAGAACGCTTTAGGGGCATTATTGTTAAGGACGAAGATCCGAGACGAAGAATTAACCCACTTCAGACTCAACATCCAAACAAAAACATTTCTGTAAGATGGACTAACTTGTAATGTGAAGACTTTTATCTCTGGTGAAATTGTTCTACGATGTTCATCGTTGGGATCAACATTTTTTGCATCTGTATTTGCATCTTTGCATTTTGCATATGTATTTCAATTTTTTAAGCATTTTCACATGTATCATTCATGAAAACATGAAATTAAGACATGGAGAATTCGACATAAGTAGTCCTGATCACGTGACATCACATTGAGAATAGAATCAGGATTCGAATGATTAAAGGAAAAAGTTGAAATCAGTATGGTGGGAGCCTATTCAGCTGATTGTAGGGTCGAGCCTTCCAGGAGGATCCGAGAAAAGAGTCCATATAGCCTGAGGTTTATGATGTTGATATAGTATGCAACTATCACATAGGAAGCTCAGGACATGCCGTTGAGAACTGTAAGGCACTGAAGCGCAAGATCCCAAAATATGATTGATTCATAGGCATGGACGTTCAATGGATAATGGGGCATTCTTATGCTAATCAATAAGGGATCTTGACATCTACTAGAAAGTTTTTTGCAATGGCATTGAGAGCATTGTTTTGTTTGAACTCGTTTTTGTTTTGTCTTTAATATTTGCTTGAATATTTTTTTAAATATTTTAATGATTGAACTTATGCTACCTTCTAAGGTTGAATAATTGAATGAGTTTTAATCTTATAGTTATTCAAATATCGAATAAATTACAGATTCTTTTAATTCTTCAAGAATTATAGATTTTTGACATATGTCAAGATTAGACCTTTCTTATACCATCTAGAAACAGAAATAAAATCTCTCGATTCTTTACCTTAAATAATTCATGATAACTACCAAAAGACCAAATTTTGACATTACCCTCTTTTAGATTTTAAAATATTACCTTTATATTCTTCTAGACACAAAAATCGTACCCTTACCTTTTGTTGAGCCAATAAAGTCACACCATCGTCTTCTTAGACGTAAAATTGACATTTTTCTACCAATAATACCTGAAAGCATTGAGTACAAGATGTTCACTTGAACATGAACCTTTCTACAAAAAGACACAATATGGAGCATATCGACTCAACTTCCTGAAGATGAGCCTGAACAATTGAGACACGCTAGAAGCAAGAAGCAGAAAAAAAGGAAATTAATTCGAAATAAGTCTATCATGCATTAATTACATTGTTTTCATGTGAATAAAATTAATCCTGAAAAATTATCCCTCTAGGGATACCTCTTCTACAAGAACTTCTGTGTATGAAATGATAAACGACCTTTTTTCATTATCCCTTAGCAAAAGGAGAAAATATATCCCTTGTGTCCCCATTTGAGCCTGAATAGTATTTTCTTCTGATTCAACGCTAACCAAGGATCACCCTCCACACTCGGGGGCAAGATGGAGAAAATCTGCTCGCATGAGTGAAGACATCAATCCAGATAAGATATTGAAAGGTAAACCAAATGCAAAGTGCAAAGATCACATCAAAGCAAAGAAAAAAAAAGAAAAAGAAAAAAAAAGAAAAGAAAAGAAGAGCAAAGAAAAAAATATGACAAGAAGCACATGCAAAGAGTCCCTGAGTCAAATGACGCATCAAGCTTCAAACCATAAGATTGATCAAGTACGACCGGTTCGAAGATCAGTTCACCGGAAGATCATAAAGGACGCATACAATCGAACAAGACAAGATTGAAGGCATCAGAATGAATTGATCCTTGGTTCAATAACCCTTAAACACTTATTTGGGCCTACTTATCCTTTTATTTCATATATGTGAACCATATCCTACATTATGTGCCTTAAAATTCCCTTCTAATCATACATGAATTTCTAAACATAAGAGATTATCTTCAAATTTCATCCCGCCCATCAAGATTAATCTTTTATTTAGAAAAAGGGGTTTCAAAAATATTTAATGTACGATAGAGAAAAAAATAACAAAATAGGGTTCAAGACGTAAATTTTGAATAATGTCATGAAATTAAAGGATGATTCGAGTTAAAAACCTGAAAATGCGGCTTAAATATAAAAATTATGCAGCTTTTGCATAGATGGCGATCTCAAAAATCCCTTGATAAGGCGTCGCACACCCGAATATGATTATGAGAGATGAGAGTCGGAGAACACTTTTGGTATATGAGCATAGAAGCTACTCCATCATATCAGTGAACATCAAAGAAGCGAGAATGCCTAACCTTTGACCAAAGACAATAACTCGAGACACATTGTTCTTTCCTTAACCCTACCTCAAGGATAGCATTAATCTTGACACTTGTCAAATAACTATAATTTTTCGAAGGATTAAGAGAGTACTTAATTATTTGATATCCAATGAACTATTGTTTCATGATTTGTCTCAATTATGAAACCTAGTAAGGGGCAAAATTTTTCAAAATTTTGATTAAACATTCTTTCACATTATTTTAATTGATATTTTCAAACTTTTGAAAATAAAAGAAGAAGAAAAATATTTTTCAAATAACACAATCTCTTTGGAGTGGATCTTGATAGTTGATATGTGGCTCTCAGACACAAAGCTCATGCTTAGAATCAATGTTGAAGCAAGAAATGATTAATGTTGGGGCATCTTTGGAGATTCAACATCTTGAAGTGAACGATCATATCTTCTGAAGGCATTTCCTCAACATGCAGAAACAAACATACTGTCTGTCACCTTTGAGATAGTTTCTCTCGAAACAAAGTGTCATCTCGCTAGAGACAATTTTTCTTAAAAATAAATAAATTTTATCTCACTTAAGACAATTTTCTCTAAAATCAAATCTTGTCTTGCTTGAGACAATTTCTCTCAAAACAAATTTCGTCTCACTGAAGACAGTTTTTATTTAAAACACAAATTCTGAATTTGTTTCACTTGAAACAAAATTGATTATCTTTGAGATTGTTTTCCTTGAAACAAGTTTTGTATTTCTTGAGACAGTTTATCATCTTTGAGATCATTTCCCTTAAAACGAATTTTGTCTCTCTTGAGACAGTTTCTCTTTAAACATCATCTTTGAGATCGTTTCCCTTGAAACGAATTTTGTCTCTCTTGAGACAGTCTTGAAACAAATCCCTAAAGATGGCTAGCCATTCTCATCGTGTAGGAACCGTGTCACCCACCGACCAAATCTCCTCCTTAGGTAAGAGCTGCGTCATCCCTAGATAACCAGTCGTCCTCATCATGTAGGAACTGTGTTATCATCCCTAAAGATGGCTAACCGTCCTCATCACATAGGAACCGTGTCATCCCCCAATCAGATCTCCTCATCACGTAGTAGCCGCGTCACCCCTAGATAACCAGTCGTCCTCATCGCGTAAGAATCGTGTTATTATCATCCCAAAATATGGCCAGTCGTCCTCATC